AAGGCCTCTGAAGAGTTGGGGTTAGAGGTTAGACTTCTGGGGAAATAAACTATTATTAGTGAGATTTATTCAGATATATAGAAGGCAAAAATGCATTATGTGACGAATGGGGCGGGGCCGAGAGCCGTGGGAACGGAGCAAGGCCGGTGGAGTAAATGCTAATGGGAGCTCTGGAAGAATAAAAGGAGGAGTAACGACAGTGTTGGACGAGAGAGGACCAGGCCTGGATTTTATTTTGTGTTTTGTGTGCGGCAGTCGTCCGCGAGGGGCTGCCGCTTTACTTTCGTTTTGTGTTTGTTTATTTTATTAAAGTTTGGTTTAAATGTTCGCCGGTTCCCGCCTCCTTCTTCCCGAACTACGAACGTTTGTTACAGTTACCCATTAGAATAATAAAGGTTTAGCTATGGGAAACTGATCCTAGACCAGCATTTACAGCCTGATTTATCCCAGTGCTGCAATCAGAGGAAGTAGCTGTGAACTGAGTGAAATATTTCCACCAAAATTTCTCCATGAGCAAGCTGAGGTCATAAATCAAACGCTTATGTTGGATGCGTGAAAGGAGAATACTCATAATTCATGTAAATTAATAGACTGATTTGCATGATCATGCTCAATTACTAGTTTTGATGAGGGATTTTGTGCATGTCTTTTGGCTGGGATACAGTCAGAAAAATCTGCTCTGTCAATAAACGCTATTACAGTTTTTAACTGAGGGCACTCTTACTTTGTTTGAGGGTGCTTAGCACACTCAAGCACCCCTACAGAACGAGCTTAAATGTTTGCCGGTTCCCGCCTCCTTCTTCCCGTGACTACGAACTTTGTTACATTGGTGCCGAAACCCGGGAGGAAGGAGGGACACGCTGCCAGAGGTCCCTCGCCGCTGTGGTGAATCCGCGGTGCCATCGAGCATGGCGGAGCAGTCTGCCGCCATGGACGCTCGAGGCGGTGGGCTGGAGTGAGTTGCCGGGGGGGCGGACGAACTCGCTGCCGGCCGCCTGAGATGTGGAGGGACGGCTGCCGTCTGTGAGGGAGCAGAGGAGTCGCCGCCGTTCGCCTGAGGCCGGAGCCTGCTGCCATCCGCCATGATGGGGAGGAGCAGGGAACGGGGGACTCCTGCCGGCTGCCCGAACCCGGAGGAGCCGTCGCCGTCCACCAGGCAGCGGAGGAGTGTCGGGCTGTCCACCGAGGGCTATCCAGTGCCGCCGCCAGGCATCGCGGAAGAGTTTACCCAGCTGGTGGAGGGCCGAGCAGCAGTGTGTCTGGGAACCGGAACAAGATTTTTTTTTTCTCTCTCCCCTCTCTCGTCTCTGTCTCTCCTCATCCTTCCGTCTCCTTTTCTCTAGCATCGTCTGTCTGTCCTTACCCCCAGGTACACCGCGGCCGCCGGGATCGGCTCCCCCGGAGGGGGGAGGG